AAGCAAGCAAGCAAGCAAGCAAGCAAGCAAGCAAGCAAGCAAGCAAGCAAGCAAGCTTTTCGGTGCCAGGTTAAAACCTTTTCAGTTACCCAATATTTTAAAGTTAAATATTTTAATCAGGTTTTATTAACATCCTCAGTCATATTTTATCTAGTGATTGATTGTTGCATTCACTGTTTATTTTTTACTTTGAAGTCATCCAAAGAGAATTGGAATAGGATGGGATAAAAATATCCTAAATAAAATAAAATAATAACCAATGTCTTGCACATCCGTGGCAGGCAGTCCTCAAGCACGTTTGCAACAGTCCCATCCAAACTGGGGGCAACAGGTGAGCTACGCCGCAGGCTTCCCTGGGATGACCTGTTGGATTTCTGCTTTCAGCCACCATTTGTCAGAACCAGCAAGACCCTTTCTGAGTCCGCGCACCCTCCCAGTGACAGACTCTTCAGTGCCCAGAGAGACAGATTTTGCATGGCAAGGCCAAACTCACAGCGAGCAGGGATCTTCCTCCGTCAGATCAGAGAGGAACACGTTGGCAACGTGGATGAAGACTGCTCCTATCGCTTGCTTCGAAGTGTCATAAAACCTGGAAGGGGTTTGGAACGAGAGATACAAAAATCAGGAAAAGCTCCTGACGCAGAGGCAAAGACGGCAGGCCTTTGTAGTCCAACATCCTGTGCAGGAAGGCAGATATGCAACAACCTACAAAAATCCACTCTGGATCAGGCCAAGGGTCCGTCTGGTCCACGCGGTGGCAAACCGGCTGTACGCAGGCTGCCTCGAGCAGGATGGGTGCAAGATGCCCATGGAGTGCCTACAAGCAGGAGCTGAGGACAACAATACCCTTGTGTCCCCTGATAACGAGGCATCCAGAGACACCCTGCCACTAACCGTGGAGGTAGCACATAGCCATGATTGCTAGTAGCCGTCGGTTGCTTTCCCTTTCACTAGCAGAAGCAATAAAACATTCTGACACCTGTTCTAACATCTCTACTCTTCTGTGATCTTTCTCAATGTGGCAAATCCCATCCCCTGGTTTTCCCATAACTATGGGCCACAATTCTTTAACAATGGGGGGTGGGGGGAGGAATAAAACGATAGTTAAGTGCAGCCTCAAGCTTCCTAGTCCTATTCGCTCAGGGATTTGGTCCAACCAAGGGACCTCCACTTTGCATTGGAGGATAATCAGAAAAAAAGAAACCAATTATGGAAAATGAAATACAGGTGCAGAGGATCAAGAAGCAAGTGAAGAGAGAGTCGTGTAGGTCCCTCGCACTGCAGGGATTCCTAGCATGACTTCACACCAGGTCTTTAAACTGTCCAGGCACTCGCACTTTCTCCTTGTCCTAAGCCAAAAGCCAAAAGGCAAGCTTGCAAGCAGAGTTGGTAGATGGCTCTTAGAAGCTGGCAGCAGAGAACAGAGGGGAGTGAAAGACCACCCAGCTATCTCCATTCTGCAGAAGGGTGAGGACCTTGCCTAGCTCAAGGACCAGACGAGGCATTCAGCTCCTGAGTGATCTTATGTCCTTGCAGAATCCATTCACGACCTTCATACATTTAATATACATCTGCTGCTTTTATGGCTGTGTTAAAGGCCTGCCCTGGACGGTGAACAGTTTTATTTATTTTAATCCTATACAGCACAGTATCAGAAGCCTTCTGGACTTTTCACAACAGTTCACACTAACACTGCAGTTCACATTCATTCCATGTCACAATGTTTTCTGGGTATCCACCCCAGAACACAACACACATTTAATAGTCCCATATTTAAGATCCTACGTTCTTGTTTCACTTTTAGTCCTTAAGATTGCAAAAATACAGTTGAAAGTTGGGCACCGTCTGCAAAAAGCTAAAAAGCCAGAGCTAAATAAGATGAAGAGAGATGCTGTACATCACTCTTGCCTTCGCCAGTGACCAGGAAAAAAACTGAATAAAAGCCTGTGGTATGTTGATATTTGAAAAAGTGTATGATTTTTACAGGCAAGACATTTCAAAAGGTAAAACCAGGCCTGATTTAACACAGATTTTTCCCAACAATTTTCTTACCATATTCTCCAGGGTCGCCTCTCTGCTTTTGGTTCCTTAAACCGTTTAACTGAAAAGAGCAAATAAAAGAAGGATTTAGAAGTCCAGATCCCCAAAAAGGTGACCATAGAAGCCCCTCAAACCAAAACCAGCATTAAGAGAGGCAAACCTCCTCATTTCTTTGGAGTGTAACTCTGGTCTGATATGTCCAGCTATCCTTGTTTGGCCAGAGATTGGGCATGTTCACGTGCCTCACGAAAGCGCTCTGAGAATAAACCACACAGGCGGGCAGGCGGGTCTACAAACAAGCCACACTTCCCCTGACAGATTCATTGTGGGTTGTTGGTCTTTCCCGCCACCATCGGTGCTCTTGTGGGTGTCCCAAGAAACACTGCAGGTGGACCAAGTTGTCTCCCTATTTGGTTTTGTTCTTTTAAAGCAAAAGGAGCTATTCTTGCTCCTATTCTTCCTTGGACACCATGAAAGCAGCTCGCCAACCTGGCTTTTGCAATCTGCTTTTTGACAGTTACGGACAATTCTTGCAAGAGATTTTTAACCAGCTTGGGCTCCTTAAAAGAGGAAGGCAGAAGGATATGCACAGAAGTAGCTGCTGCCCCATCTCTGGAGTGGATGCCTCTTGTAGCCCAATATTTTAAAAATGTTTCATGTCATAGAAGCATAGAAACAGAGCGAGTCAGAAGGGGCCTCCCGGGCCATCTAGTCTGACCCCCGGCTCCAGCCAGCTCCGCTCATGACACGCCCGCCATGTCATCTTTGCAAATCTTTGCATTTTTTTCTTTCTGCACTTGCAGAACTGGAAATGTGGGCAGTCATGTCGGTGTGGGGAAGGAGACAGAGGTGGGCAGCCCCAAGAGGACAGCTTCTCATACCTCGAGTGCTGTGTGAGGACTTCAACATGAAACGGGGGGCGGGGGATCGGGGGGCTCCAAGCAGCAAGAGGGCTGCAAAACAAGGCCTTAGGGGCCACATGCGGCCCACAGGTCACCTGTGATGGTTGTTGGGCCAACCATCCTGAATCACAATCAGTAGTGCAGCCCCCAACATGGCTGCCCAGGTGCAGGGAGACTCACACAACCATTCATTCATTCATTCATTCATTCATTCATTCATTCGGAAGACTTATATGCTGCCCCATTTGCAAAAGCCTCAGGGCGGCTTCCAATACAAATAAATAACTATACAATTACATAAAAATACATAAAAAACTGGAGACATCCTGGCATAAATATAAAATCAATAAATAAATTCAACAATTAAAATGACGTTTAAATTAAAAGGTCTTGGCCTGGTGCCAAAAAACAAATAACGACGGCGCCAGGCAGATCTCCCTGGGGAGCGCATTCCATAGATTGGGCACCACCACAGAGAAGGCCCTCCTCCGGGTGCTCACCCTCCTAATATCCTTCACGGAGGGTTCCTGGAAGAGGGCCTCTGCCACTGATCTCAAGGGGTGGGAAGGCAAATATCAACACAAGTGCTCCTTTAGCTATCCAGGTCCCAAGCTGTTAAGGGCTTTATAGGTGATAACCAGCACCTTGAATTGGGCCCAGACTTCGATGGGGAGCCAGTGAAGCTGCTAGAGGACTGGGGTTATATGAGAATAATGCCCAGTCCCTGTCAGCAACCTGGCAGCTCTGTTTTACACCAACTGAAGTATCCAGACCGTCTTCAAGGGCAGCCCCACGTAGAGCGCGTTACAGAAGTCTAATCCATTGCATTTAACAGCAAGGGGAAAAAACACTGGGAACCTCAATTTCATCTTCTGTATTTCTGATGGTCAAGCCATTTCATGCCTTTTCCAAAGAGTTTGGAAACTGCAGCAGGTCTGGAGGGGTAAGGGAGGCCTTCATGAAATCCCTCATCTGAAGGTGTAGTTTGCACCGAACAGAAAACCTTGCAAGCATCGGCTGGTTGCCTTCCCTGAAAATAGCCATCTTAGAAGAGTTTTCTCCGGGATCACAGCAAGGCAGAAAGTGTTAAATTCAGCCATTGTCTTGGCTAAACTTTCCAAACAGGGTACCTTCTGGATATGTTGGACTACAGCTCCCAGCATCCCCACAGTCAATTGGGGGTACCAGCCAGTCAAGTTTCCCTCCTCTCCCCTTTCACCCTTACAACAACCTTGTGAGGTAGACTAGGCTGAGAAACAATGACTGCCCCAAAGTCACTGGGTGAGCTCCATGCTGAACGGAGGCTAAGCCCCGAACCTGGTTCTCCTGAGCCCGAGTGCTCCAACCACACCAACTCTCAATATTCTTAAAACATGACATTGAATTTAGACAAACATGTTTGGAAATCCAACCGCAAGAGTTATGATTTAGGGTTTTAAAATGTCTCCCAATGGTACAAAATTCAAGAAGCCCCTTTTGAATAGTGAAGATTCAAACACCCCCAAGCGCCCCTTTGCTGGTTTTCCATTCACAATCTAGAGTCACTTTGATGTGCATCTAATGTCCCCTCCCCTAACTTTCTAGGTTAACCAAACCGAAAGAGATCCCAGGGCCTTCCTAAGCCCCCCTAATCCGGGCTGGCATTTCCCAGGGCACAGTTCCTTCTGAATTAATGCCCTATTAAGCAGTCAATTATTTCTCTATCGTGCTTGCTTTTATCTGTTAATACAGCCCCTTTACTGACTGAGATAATTACACTGTCTCTGATAAACTCTCTTAAACCTAATGAGGCTTGACAAGACCTGCTCAACAAGGCGTCTCTTCTTTTTTAAGTTGTCATCTTATCACACTCAACAACTGCATTTTGAGCTTCGGCAGCTCTGGGTTTGTGATGTGTCGTTTTCCATTAAATGAGGATTAAAAAAAATTATCCTCAGATCTCCAGCCAAACTAAGAATTAGGTTCTTCCTATCCAGGCTAATAAATGTCTTTGCCCTTGTTAGCTAGCACCAATGTTTGATAGTGGAACAGACCTCATCTGTGTCCTTTCATTTAAGTGAATGGTTCCCATTTAGTTCTATGGAAGCCAGGAAAAGGACCTATGATCTAGGGCACGGAGAGCAGTATCTGCCCCAGGACAGTTGCGAGCCAGCAGCGAAAGTGAAGGGATCAGTTTCTCTCGGCTCACACCGTCCCCTTGCAGATTCTTCCCGTTAAACGAAAACAAACATGATGAGATGCTTAGCAGGCTGCAGTCCATTTTATGTATCAGCATGAAATGTTGATCAGCATGTAATCAACAAGTTACTTGTTGATTACAGTACAGAAATGGAATAAATAATAATAATTAGTAGCAGTAGTAGTCCTGGAGATTGCCATCATGGAAGTATCACAGGTCATTTGCTTGTTTAAGCAGGGATCAACCTGCGCTGGATGAAAATCACAGGTTCCTGCAGTGTTCACTCCACGTGAATAGAGTGGAAGGCGAGTAAAGAAAAGGGCATAGACAGCAGGGGGGAGACAGTAGGAGCAAAAGTCAGCCGGCTGACGAGGAAACAGGTGCTGGGGAAAGTCGTGAGGAAGAAGAAAGAGGGACGAGGGGAAAGTATAATGAAGACATCGAGAAGAAAGGCGTACAGGGCAGCAGAAACTGAGTGACCGGAAGACCTGCGGCAACCAGACTCATCACATAAGGCCCTTCTATTCGGTGGGCAGGTAACGGCGTTCCGTGCACCTCGGTGTTTAGTCATGCCGGCCACACGACCACGGAGACTGTCTGCGGTCAAGCGCTGGCTCCCTCGGCCAGGAAACGGAGATGAGCACCGCCCCCGAGAGTCAGGCATGACTGGACTTTAATGTCAAGGGGAATCCTTTACCTTTACCTTCAGCTGGCCCAGAAGTCTTTACATCCTGCCTTTATTCTTGCAAGGAACCCAGTGTGAACTGCATGATCCATGTCTCCATTCTACCCGCCCAACAATCTTGTGAGGTAGGCTGAGAGGCCGTGACTGTCCCAAAGTAACCCCGTAAGCTCCATGACCAAGTGGAGACTGAACCCGGGTCTTGCAAGTCCCACCCCTGCACTCTGACCACTGCGTGCAATTACCTTATTCAGGCCTTCAAGAACATGGAGGGGGTTCAGTGTGGGTACTAGGACAGGGCTAAGCTCCGCTCTCAGGGCACCTCTCCCAGCCTGGCTCACAGGAGCTCTCCAGGGCTCCCAGTGGCACGGAGAGCTCCACCTCACTGGTCCAACGTGTCCAGGGCCAAACTGAGGAGGACGGGGGTAGCACACCCCAGGCTGGTGGGGGGGGGGGGCCACAGCGCACCCCCACCCTGCTCCTGCACTGGGCTCAAGCCGAATTGGAAGATGGAAAAGGGTGAAAAACTTAACAGGAACACCACCTGCATCTTAATCTCAAGAAAACGGGGAAAGCAAATCAGACAGTAGACCAGGGCTGGTTTTTGTCGTTGGTTTGATCCTATCAGTGAGCCATAAAATGCGCATAAATGTGGAGGGCTGAAAAAAATAACACAGAGGGGGAAAAACTCCCTTCCCATCACACTTGAATGTTCCCAAATTCTCCAGAAACAGGAATCCTTTCTGTTTCCTTTCATACTTTTGGAGGAAAAGAAGACAAAGGTTGCTGAACGTTATTTCTGACCTTGGATCACTGGCTCGTCACTCCCTGAGAATCTGTCCTTCCTTGCTTATTCTCTGTCCCAGACAACAACATTGCCACAGGAAGCGATTGCAACACACACACTGCCAGAAGACAAACTGCTGAGACTAAAAGGAAAGGTACGGAGTACAAGGTGGAGGTGGGAGCTGAATTCCAAAGCACAGACCCCACTTGAACGCAAGTCAATAAAAATCGAACTAGAAGGCTGCACTTTGCTGAAGGCCAGCTTCTTCTTCATCAGCTTCTTACTATTGTTATCATCATCATCATCATCATCATCAGCGGTATTCATTTCATTTCTGTACAGCCACATAGCCAAAGTTCTAATACTAATGAGTTTCATTATTAAAACTTAAAGGAAAAAACTTGGCAGATGCTTAAAGAGAAGCCCGCAAACACATTGGTGAACACAGACACAACATCCAGGTCTGACAAAGTCCGAAGCAGTGGAGTGATACACAGACACAAAACCTACATGAGGGGAGGGGAGGGGGATATCACAGCCAAATCTTGGGACATTTGTTGTACATTTAAATGTTTTATGGAAAGGGTAATTTTAGGTTCCCATTTTTAATGTCACTGGACCGCTGGGAGGGGAAGGGGAGAGGCAGGCCAGTGTATCTAGCAAAGGATTCCTTGCAGATTCAGGAAAAATCGGAAGGGATAAGTCAAAGAGATGCAGGAGAGAGACATTTCGGAAGAGGAGACACTGAGATAACGGGAAAAGCTGGCCATTTAATCTCAGTTACTGTTTTCACAACAGCTGCATGTGCCCAAGGTTGCAAACACACACTCTGGGATTCTGATGCAGAACACCACAAAGTGGGGCTCTTTTGTTATGGCACATCCCATGATAAACGCTGAAAGGATACACTTTTCAAAAATCATTTGAATAAGGATGGCTTGCTACAGGATCCATCAGTAACTCCAGAACATGCTAAAGCTATAATAATTAACGCAGTTTCCCCATTGTAACCTCAGTGACCTGAATCGATCAATCAAGGGCGAAACTTGAATGATGCCTAGAGTAAACCTTCCCAGGGCAGCAAAGACAAGAGCTCCCAAATACAGGGCAAGGAGCTGGAATGATTCCAGGCAACGGAAGACAAGAGTTCTGTGCTGGAAGACAAGGATCCGAACACACACATACACACCTAGGCTTCATCCAAGCTCAAAACTGTCATCGGAACCTCATCGGAACTAAATGGGGCAAAGCCCATCACCTGCACAAGTCTGGGCAGCTTCAAAAGTCAGTCCAGAGTAACCCCACACCCTCGGAGGTTTTGCTGGACAAGGCTTCCCCATTGTGATCCCTACGCTGCATTGTTCCCAGCACAGAACGATTCGAAGATCAGGACTGTCCAAGGTATCTGGCAAGGTGGGATTATCAGCAGTGGGGATCCTGATTCCATGGCAACCAAGAATCCACCTCCTTAAAAGAAAATGTAACAGGGCAGATCACAGCAGTTTCTTAATAATGCGACGTTCTGAAGAAGTAAGTCCACGCTTGGTGGGAGCCCAAGCACAGAAGGCCCCAATGGCAGTGAGTCCAACAGAAAGGATTTGGGGCTGCAAGATAAGAACGGCGCTTATAAGGCTCCCAGCCTGGACAGTGCATTAACATGAAAGGTCTTTGCCGTGCCTTCCTTCCGAGTAAAGGATAGTAGCCAGTCAGTGAGGGGTCCTATCGTAATACAGCATGTCCCTTCTGGGGAGATCCCCAACCTGTTTGACACCTCCAAAACCCACGCCCTCCACATTAGCTGTGGGATCGGAGCGGCTTAATTCCTACGTGCTCCCCCCAAGAAGGCTGACAGGGATAAGCTCACACGAATTCTGCCATTCTAGAGGAAGAGCAGCCCCAAGCCCTTCTGGAGCAATTCTGACCCCATCCTGGCAGAGGTACATGACCTGGATGTGTGTAAAGACCGTCAGTCTCTTGGAGTGCCTGTAGCTCTTGGAATCTGACTGTATGGTCAACAAGCCACCATGCACAATCCAATCATGGATCCTCTTCACGGGTTGTTCAAGGTTAACAAGCCATGGCGTGTTAGCATGGTTGGGTTCAGATCACACGATTATTATTATTATTATTATTATTATTACATTTTTATACTGCCCATAGCCAAAGCTCTCTAGGCAGTTGACAGCAATAATCATAGAATCATACACTGAAGTCACCCATCCCACTTCTTCCCAGGCCTGACCCTGCTTAGCTTCCAAGATGAGGAAGGATCAGGCACTTCAGGCTACATGGAAGCTACATGGAAGCTAAAATGAATGAATGGTGATTTTGGGATTTACGTAATAGACACTAACATTACAGCTGAAGCACTGAACTATTATAACTGTTTAGGAGTGGTATTTCTAACAACCACCCTCACTCCAGCCCTGAGTGTGAGTTATCACCTTGTCTGAACTCAGTCAGAAGCCCCAACACCTGATTTCGTTATTCAGTAAAGGAGTTTTACTCCCCTGGCTGATTCAATCTGCAGCCAAGAGGCCCATGAGGGTAGTCACCTTACAGAAACAAACAAAAGCGGCATTTGTTTTCTGGGTCAGGGACACGTGTTACAGAGATGCTACCAGCAGGGTTTCCAAGTGTTTGTATGGGAGGGAGGGGGGGAAGAGAGAATAAAAAAAGGCAGAGTACAACAGGAGAAAGAGAAAAGAAAAAAAAAAGGAGCAGGAGAAGAGCAGACTAGGAGAGAATAGGAGAGAGGAGAGGCGACATATAAGGGAGAGGCAACAGTAAGAGGAGGAAATAAAGAAATGGCCAAGCAGGCAAGAGTACAGAGGAATAAAGAAAAGGAAGAGAAAGCAACGCGAAAGGGGGCGGGGGAGGGCGCGTCTGCGGATTGCTCGGCGCCTCCTCGGCAAACCTTCGCTTCTGGATGCGCCGCTCCGCGTTCCGCGGCGTCTCGCCTCCCGACAAGGCTGGGCTGCGGGAGCGGAGGACGAAGCGGGCAGCGCCGCGAGAGTGGCCCGTCCCGCCGCGACCGAGCACGGCGGGCAGGCGGGGCGCATGAGGCCGGGCGGGACTTACGCATGAGCGTGCCGAACGCCGCCACGGCCAGCAGCGCCTGGACCAGCACCCCGAAGCGGTCGAGCAGCGCCCCGCTGCCGCAGCCCCGCGGGCGGAGCCTCTGGCGAGCCGGGCCGGGCGCCGCGGAGCGGGCGAGCAGAGCCATCCGGCGCCCGGGCGCCTCTCTCAGCCGGCCAAGGCGCGCGCGGCTGTGCGCACGGAGCGGGCCGGGCCGGGCCGGGCGCGCCTCTGCCTCCGGGGGTGGGGGGCGCAAGGTGAACTTCCCCGGGCGGGGGGGGGGGCGGCCACGCCCCCTTCGCTGGGTCGGGGGCAGATCTGCGTTGGGAGAAGGGGGGTCGAGAGAGGAGCGCTGCCGACGAGGCCAAAGGGTGCTGTGGCTCCTGGAGTGGGCAGGCGCACCGAGCGGAGATCTCCTCGGAGCCGAAAGGGGCCTTCTTTGTGTAAAGGCTGCGCGGGGGGGGGGGTACAAGCAAAAGTGTGGGGCCAGTGTAGTGCAGTGGTTAGAGCAGCCCTTCCCACCTGAGCGCCCTCCGGATGTGTTGGAACAGGTCCGAGAATCCCCTAGCCTGCTGTGCTTCCGGGAGTTAATTGACTGGCACACCTGGAAGGAACCCATTTGAGGAATATTGAACTGGGATACTGGAAACAAGGGTTCAGCCGAACCCCTCAAAAGGTCGTTGTGAGGATCATATGGAGAGGGAGACAATCCTTGAAGCCAGCTTGGATTCTTTGCAGGAGAAAAGGGCAGGGCATACATAGAATTGGTAGGTGCAAGTCAGTGTAGCCTAGTGGTTGGAGTGCTAGCCTGGGACTCAGGAGATCCGGGTCCAAGTCCGCAAAGCTCACTCAGGGATTTTGGGCCACCCATGGACTCTCAGCCTAACTTGGCTCAAAGGGCTGTTGGGACTATAAAAATGGGAGGAGGAGGGAAGCTGGAAAAGGCAGGCAATCATTTAATTATAACTAACTCGCAGGCATCCTCTGAAATACGGGTTACTGAATGAGAGTTTGGCAGGTGCTCCATTGCAGCTTCATCCCCTCAATATATGCAATTTACAAATGGATAAATATATGGATATTTAGGCTGCCTTTGGTGAAATATATGCATCATTATTTGTAATAACGGTAGGATATTATTCTATAATGGTAATGGTACATGCATAATTTTTATGCAACAGATTTTTAAAATCCATGCCCCCCCAAAAAAATCCTGTAATCATATAGTTTATCTTTTTTCCCATCTTTCTCTTCAACTTGTTTATTTTTTGATGAGTCACACACAATGCAAATCAATAAAAAGAGAACCCCTCACCTGGTTCCTCCACACCTGCACCGCACTCAGCGTCCAGCAGCCACACCTGGGGTTTCTTCACCTGGAGAACTGGCACGTGCTTCTTTGCCCTTCCCATTGGGAACATTCCCAGGAATGTTGGATTCCCAACATTCCCAAGTGCACAGCAGGATGGCTGGCCACCAGCACTGAAAAAGCCATGGGTCCCACAAGACTGGGTGATCCTGGAAGCATGCTAGTTGCTCTAACTTCCTCTATACTGGAGATTCCTGCTCTACCTTCCTGCTGCTTCCTGGAATGCCCCATTTTCTTGCTTGCTTGAAAATCTGCTGGCCTCTGCACTCTGGCCACAATCCAGAGAAACACAGGGAAAAAAGCATGCACACAGGGGGGAAAAAAACCCTGACCATAGCTGGGGATGCGCTGGCAGGGTGTGCTGGTGCTTCCAAGCTGAGTTTTCTGCTCAGATTCTAGATTTCCAAAGGGGAGTTGCTTTTAGATTAAAAACATGCTCTCTCCTTTTTCATGGCAGTCTTGAAGATTGCCCACAGAGCAGCGGACCGGCTTGGCAAATGGATCAGCTGTTCAAAATTGGTTTCAGGGCAGGGGTTCTTGTTCCATCTGGCTGTGAATCCCAGTAATAAATTCTCACAGCTTCAGCTGGCACGCACAAGCATCCTTCCTAGGCTGGAAGCAATGCTCTGCAAATTTAGGCAGGGAAGAAGGCCTGCCTGGGGCATGCTGGGAGATGTAGGCCCTTTTTTTGCCTCATCTGGCAGAAGATTGGGCTTTATGAACTTGGCTGGTGGGGGTTCTCCAAGAACTGAGCCAGAAGAATCCCTTGTTCGCTGTGCCTTTTTATTTTTTAGTTGGCAGTGCCCCTCTGCATGCACAGGGCTTGCCCTGCCTCTAAGCTGTGGCCCTTTCTCAAGGTGACCCCCAACACAGGGAAGGGGCAGATGCAGAGATTAAAGATGCTTCAGCTCTCCCTTTAAGGAATTTTAATGGATTCTGCAGTAATAGGTGGGCTGAAATGTCAACTGGAATTACTGTGACAGCTTCAGGTGTTTCAAAGTCCTTGATCTGACTCTGGAACTGTTTCAAGCTCATGGCTGGGACCCTGAGCTCAAAGGCTCTCCTTCCTCCTTCACAAGCCATGTCAACTGCATCTCCAAAGTCATGAGAATGACCTCAGAGATGGGTTTTGGGGGCATTCAGGGGACAGGGACGGGAGAGACAGCTGGTGCACTCATTCCTGGGGACACTGCCGGAGCTCCATGTAGCGATCAGGGGGTGGCAGCTAGAACTTGGCACCCTACCGATGCGAGGACCTGGGGTGAGAAAGGGCGGGCCACCTCACATTGGAGTCATCGTTAAGGTTCCGCTGGGACACACGATGCGGGTACCAAAGCTTCAGTGAGCCAACATCTGCAGACTGTGCGGGAGAAGCACAGAGGTGACTTTTGCCCCTGAGCAACATCTGTCCTCACAAAGATGCTCCTAGCCCTCTGAGTTTTGGGGGATGGGGCAGCCATGTTGGACCTCACAGGCTGTTGCTCGGAAACCAGTGAGTAATTCAGCTGGGTCAGAGAGAGTGCCGATTAAATATAGGAAACCCACATCCGAAGGCCGACTCTACCCTAAGGCAGAGAGGGGCACACCACCTGAAGCGGCAGGTGCTGGAGGGGTGGACAGGAAGGTGGGTGAGTTGGAGGGCAGAATGGTGGGCACCCCCCAAAAAGCTCCTTCGAAGCAGCGGGGAGACTAAGAGGGTGGGGGCCACAGAAGCTGCCTGAATGTCCTGCTAGGGAGCAGAGAAGGAACAGAACGGGATGTTCTGGCAGGGGCCACGGCTGACATAGGGGCACGCCACGCTGCAACATCTTTTCGCAGCTTCCACCTGGTCCACTCCAAATCAAAGCTTTCCTCCCAGTAGGTGGAGCTGTGATGTCAGCATTTGAGCAGCACAATTTCTCACTTGCACGATTCCCAGGGCTTAACGCTGTACCTAAAAGACGTTACACAAAGGGGAAGCCCAGGAACTGCACCGGTGTACACTTGGCAGTCCATACACAGAAGTTTCGCATGTTGCTACAGCATAAACAGGCACAGCCATTGACCTGAGCGATGACTGGCTACTGGACAGTATAAACATGTAATAAATAAATAATATAGTGTCCTATCGATGTAAATTGATGTAAAGGGGAAAATAATGAATGCTACCTTTCTTTAGCCAATATGTATCTGCATGGAGGGACTGATGATGATGATGATGATGATGATGATGATGATTACATTTCTATGCCGCCCCTTGCTGAAGCCTCGGGGCGGCTTACAACACAATAAAATACATTGAAATACAATAGAACACAATAAATTACCACTAAATACAAAAATACAAAAAATACACTGAGATACAAACATAATAATATAAAATTAAAATTAACAGTATAAAATAAGTAAATAAAGGAGGAGAAAAGAGAAGGAAGAAGAAGTAGAAGTGCAGCGCCTCCTCTTCACATAGAAAGTCCCAGATCCAATGCTTAGCAGTTCCAGGTGGATCTAGGAAGGTATCCCACCTGAAACCCAGGTGAGCTGCTGTAGCTCAGAGTGGACAATACCAGGCTAGATGGAACCAGTTCTAAGCCAGTGCAGGTCAACTCTATGTTTGATGTTCTTCCATCATAAAACTCCAAGCAGCAGATGCCAAGCTGGTCTCTCACCTAGGGAACGACCAGTCTCAATCCTTCGTTTCGACAAGGTGTATCAGTTTCTTCCAACCAATGCATTCTTTTGTTCATCTGATCTAAATTCCGTGCATGTTTCTTTGAGCATTTGCGCTAATACGCCAGCTGAAGTCAAGTCGAGATGCATTTTGTCACCACAGGGTGGGAAGGAACAAATTCACAATTCCAGCCGTGGTATCCATCCTTGGGAGTACACACCCACATACACTGCAAGCAACTTGGTATCGGGGGATGGGATCCTAGCAGCCCCCAGATTTGTGTCCCAGTATCCGGGGCTGCAAAAGAGGCTGAAGGAGGAGCTTCCATTTCCTTGTTCCCCGGTAGAGTCCCGGCACTTTTCTACACAAGACTGTTCGTTGTTGTGCCTTCGTTCATTTCTGGCACAAAACGGATACTTCAGTTGCCAGGCTGCTGACGGGGACTGGGCATGGTGCTCACATAACTCCAGTCCTCCGTCAGCTTCACTGGCTCCCCATTGAAGTCCGGGCCCAATTCAAGGTGTTGGTTATCACCTATAAAGCCCTGAACGGCCTAGGTCCTGGTTACCTAAAGGAGCGCTTACATCCATACATGCCCTCCTGCCCCCTGAGATCGGCAGCAGAGGCCCTTCTCCAGGAGCCCTCCGTGAAGGACATTAGGAGGGTGAGCACCCGGAGGAGGACCTTCTCTGCAGTGGCGCCCCACCTATAGAATGCGCTCCCGTCCTTATTTGGTTTTTGGCGCCAGGCCAAGTCCTTTTTATTTAAACGCTATTTTAACTGTTAATGGTTTATTTTAAATTGACCAGGCTGTGTCCACTATTTTATGTATTTTAATTATTTGATGATTTTTTTGTATTTTATGCAGGATTTTATGATTGTAAGCCACCCCAAGGCTCATGCGATGGGGTAGCATATAAGTTGTTTAAATAAATAAATAAATAAATAAATAAATAAATTCCTCTCCTGCTTTTCCACTACATAACCAGTAGGTGGGGGTGTGATCGTGCAATATCACAATTACCTCTGTAGGAAAATAATGTTTCTTTTGCTTTCAGAGAGAATACCCCATTTTCCTTTATGTTTTTAAAAAAGGGGGGGGGAGTCCACTAAGGGAAGGGGGAAAAACAAGTAAAACTGTAGGATCGGGGCATCTCTAAAGAACTGGTAAGCAACTGCAAGCAAGGAATGCTGCATGCACAATAAATGCCTCATGTAGAAAAGCTCTTATCTAGAGTTTGGTTCTCTGATGACAGTGGACTAAGAGTTTTTGCCACTGGAGGCGAAGATCAATATTTTTGGTGTACACAGCCCAGCTGATTTTCTAAAGCTGTCAGTGTGCCCCCTTCACTGCAATGGGGAATGACAGATGGTTACAGCTTCCCCCAATTCAGCATCTAAAGGCAATCTGCGCATGGACAAAACCTGCAGAGTTTCAGACAAATAGGGGTGTGTGTGTCGGGGGGGGGGGCAGGTTATGCAAGCAACTCTTAACTTTTTAAAATTGGGGGGTATATAAAGACAACACTTTTTTTTTTTTTGGTAGAATGGAAATTGCAGGTTGCTTTTGAGGGTGCTAAAACCTGTCAAATTTCAGACAGACTCATGGAGCAGGGTTTGTGCTAGCTGACCGTTGATCTGATATATTATTATTTTGAGGAAAGGGAGAACAAGGTTAGTGGTTGGGACTAGTCCTCATGGTTATACACCGAGGCGTGCTTGTGGTTATTTTCCAGCTTGCCACTCACTGCCGCGGGTACCTATGGGCACCTGCTCGCCACTCCCGGTCTCTGCCACTGCCCACAAACACCCGCTTGCAGCTCTGAAACACCCGATATTCCCCGTACGTGGCTCTTCCCTTGAGCAAGCCTAGCCGCTCCCGCCATGGGCCAAGTCCAGTATTAGAGGCAGGGTGTCTATGCACACCCATGCTGGGGAACATGGGCAAGAAGGTGTCGTTGCATTCCTGTCTTTCTTGTGGGTTTCCCTTGGAGGCTGGTTGGCCTCGCTGGACTAGATGCACTGGGACCGAGACGGATCCAGTAAGGCTCTTCTCATCTTCTGACTTAGTCTGTGCACACAAGATGTTGCCATCGCATGTCTGGCTGGGACATGCTGGAAATACAGGCCTTCCTTTGTGTCTAAAACTGCCTTATGACGCAATCATATGTACCTTCTATCTCAGGTGCACAGGACTGTACCTCAAGACAAATTTTAATGTGTAATAATGGCTTGCATGGAAAGCAACATTATCCAAAAGTTTAAAAGCGGGGGGGGGGGGGGATGAACACACGTAGTACACAAGCACATGGGCATAGGAGAAGGCACTCTGACGTGTGATCGTGAAGTGCTACTGGTCTGTACAACCCAAGTGTACACAGAGATGTTGTAGA